ACAGAACCTGAATTGGCTGAGCTATCCTCCTTAACATCCCTAATGGGAAGTTCACTACTAAATCCTACTATGAAAGGATGATTGCTGGATCTATGTCCTCTTTCCTGGACAGAAAGATCTGGTTCTCTTCTGCCCCTCCCAGAGAGAGAGAGAGAGAGAGAGATCACCTTATTGCAGTAAGCTGAATAGGACCCCACAACTAAACCAAATACCAACATCAACAACTAAACCAATATATTTTCTGATGTATCAAATTGACAGTTAATACCTTCCCAATCCATCCCAATATCAACAACTAAATCAAATACCAACAAAGTTAACCATCTAATGCATGAAAATGCAGTTTGTGCAGGTAGAGTAGATAGACCAAATACGCACCTTCCTTCCCTCACTCAACTTTTGCCTTACTATTTGTCCTAGCGTTGGCTGAAAAACAGAGAACAAAGGAGATCAGACTTCAATCTCTATTAACAAAACACTTATTCAAGCATAAAAGGACTCATTTAATACCTTTACTGGTTGAGAGAACTCATCAATCACATTCTGAGCTCTTGAATCCTCGGAAGAGCAAATTCCAGGAGAAACTGGAGCTCCATCTGAACGAGTATTCACACCAGAAGTATTGGAGCCAACCGCTTAGGTTGTCTTCTTTGATGCCTGGGTGGAGTTCTGAACAATCTCCAGGTAAATACTATTGCAATAGCAAGCCCGGCAAGAGCCCCACGAGAACGAGAATTTTGATTTTGAAATCAAAGCAGCAAGAAACTCCAATAAGAAAAACAGAAGCTTGTGTTTAGGGGCTTATGCAACGAGAGAAGATAAAAAATAGAAAAACAAGTTATTCAATAACTGTTACAAGAAGAATGCCCAAATGTGAGACATACAGATTCGATTTGGCAATGACAAAAATAGGTTCTTCTCTGAACCCAAAGAAGCAAAATGATACCCAAAGAAAAAAGATATAAAATAGAAAAACAAAAAAAAAATACCTAAACTGAAAATGCCCAAATGTGAAAGAGATTGTTCACCAGTGTGATGGGAGACTTCGAGTTGAGAGAGTTGAATCGGCAAAGAAAAGTTAAGGTGCGGCTTTGAGAACGAGAATGTGCAAGTAGAGAGACTTCAACTCTGAGAGAGTTGAATCGGCAGAGTGAAGGTCCAGAACTCACTCATTGAGTTCTCGTTCGTTCCAGAAAGCGGGTAGAGAGAAAAGGCGCGCGGGAGGAAGAAATTGCATGCCCGCCTTTTTTTCTTTCCTCTGATTATTAGATTTTCCGGTTACATTCTCAACCATTGATTTTAATTCAAATCAATGGTTCCAATAAAATGATATATATCTTAAAAGTCTAAAATCACACTGGTGGCGCTTTAAAAGTATTTTTAATGGTAAGTTCATAAAAGCCCCTTAAAACAAAGATGTAGTGGCGTTTTATACATGCATTTTTATGACAATTTAAAATCAGACGCTAAGCGATTTTTCTGCATATATAATGGCAATTCTTAAAATCGCCACTAATAGTAGTGTTTAGTGGCACTTGAATAGATGTTACTATAGAAAACGCCTCTAAAAATGATTTTCTTGTAGTGTGGATTCCGTTAAGGCAAATTCGTACTTATATCGTTCCAACAATCTTTTGCAACCTTATATTGGGAATATCTCTCCATGAAGTAAAACACATAAGTACGAAGATATTTTCAATGCAAGGCAGTAAAGGCTGTTTGAATGGGTTTTGCCCTGATTAAAGCCAAACTCGATGGGGAGGGGTGGTGTCGGGGAGACCCAAAAGATTGTCAAATCCTTAACAACTAGTTTGCTTCATGGGGTATAAAAGGGAAGAAAAATACCTAATGAATTATGGGCCTTGGTAAATTTACAAATTGGTCCATATTTGCTAGCCAACTAGCGTTGAATTTTCCTTCTAGGTCATTTTCCCAAATCTATTGCATTCCAAATTATACAATTAGTTATGATTCATGGCCTCCTTGTGTGTGTGTGATACAGATATAATTCAATAAAACAGTCTGAACCAAATGAAAAGAAAAATCATTCCATGGTATGGGCTACTCTATTTGCACTCCTTTAAGGTGGAAATAAATTTGCTCTTGGAAAAGTTTGCTCTTAGTGATATGATCCACTTTGGATCCAGTGCATTTGGACTTGAAGGGATTTTTTCTTCAAGTCCAATTACATATTGACACATCACCATATGCTGAATTGGAGTAAACATGCAACATGTTGAAATGACAACTCTCTAAAAGCATTTTTCTTTGTTATTATAGCTGATAAGGGCAATTTTTTAGCCCTAATATCAATAACAATAATATTTTTTATATAACTTCTAAAGTATGTTAACTTTTTTAATATATAAAAAAGGGCAAAAACAATGTTCATCTTCTTCCTCCTTCAAACCACTGAATAAATCTATCTCAAGCATAGATCTCTACTTTTTTGTTCACCCTTATAAAAAGAAACACTGAATATCCATAAGTTCTGATTCACACTTTCACATGCCTCGCTTGTTGTATTGTTCCCCCTCTGATTATAAAACTTGAAACAGCTACGAACTACACAAAAAATCTCTACTACAAGACTATAAGCTACAGCTCTTAATATAATCGTACAAGAACAAGATTACAAGAAGAAAAATGCTTCTTCTTTTTTTCCGATTTTATTCAAAATTTCCCGGTTAGTTTTTCTTATAGGAAAAATTAATCCAAACCCACCACACCAAGCTCATATATGAATAAAAAAATAGAGAGTACAGAAAATAGTGAGGATTGCATAGTAGGGAATGATTCTAATCTTATAGACCAGTCTATCAGACTGTAGTCATAAATTTGAACTTCTATTTTTTGTGTGGCTATATTGAACGGTTTTATTTTGGTACTAGTAATTACGCACATGTGTTGCATGTGAAATTTTTTTCTTCATATTAATTACTTGAATTTTAGATATATCATAGTTAATATAGAAATTGAAAATTAACAAAAGTAATAGTATGATTAAAAATAAACTTAAATATTTATTATTTAATTATGACACAATGGGTTTCTTTTAAAAGTTTGATCATTTACCCACCATCTATATAAGAAAATATATTTGTTTTTTTATTAGTTTTAAATTAAGAAAAATTTATAGTCGGAGTCGGTCGTACATTTAAAATTAGGCTACAAGTTAGTCCATACACCAACAAAACTCTAACAACTAGCTCTACATTTCAAATTATAAAAATCATCACCATGTCATTAGAGGTTTATTTGGTTGTTGCCAACATGGGATTCTTAATCCATGTTGAACACGACAAAAATATTATATTGAAATTGCCCTTTAATGTTGGTTGATTGGAAAATAAAAAAAGGCTTTTTAGTCTCTCTCTCTCTCTCTCTCAATCTCTTACTATCTCACTCACAGTCGTCTTTATCTGCTCAACGACTATGTGATTTGAAAATAAATAAAAACGGTTTTTGCTTTATGTATTACGTTATCTTATCAATTTCTCTCACTATCTCTATTTGCCTATCGTTCTTCCTCAATCTCTCCCATTATCTTTCTCGATCGATCTCTCATTCTCCCTTAAATTATATCGTTCACCCTCAGTTTCTCTCCCGCTCCCCCTCTCATTCTTTTTTAATTTTCTTACACACTTATATGGCATTAATCAGATCGTATAAAAAAATGAGACCAACTTGGTATAGTTAAAAAATCATTACACCAATTTGATAAAAATTCACAATAAGCTCTTGGTTATGAAATTTACACCAATTGGAGAACGATAGAGATTGATGGAGAATGAGATATTGACCGAGAGGGAGAGTGAAGGAGAAGAATGAGAAAGATTGAGGGAGAACAATAAAGAGAGAGAGAGAGAGGGAGGGAGGGAGAGGTTTTGATTTGACTACAGACTGAAGTTGAGATAGTGGGAGAGACAGAGTGAGAGAAAAGGGAGTGAGATCGAGAGATAAAAGGAGTGGAAGAGAAACTAAAAACTATTTTCAGTATAGTTTTTTTGCTATGTCCAACATGGACTAAGAGTCCCATGTTGGCAACAACCACATAAGCATTTGATGACATGGCAAAGGTTTTTATGGACCAACGTACAACATAATTTTAAATATACAACCGACTTTGACTATAATTTTCCCTTTAAATTATATATTTCATTTACATTATATAAAATATTTTTTACTCATCACACTTAATTTTTGTTAGTCCATGGTATCATTTGACTCAAACCACTAACCCTCCATCTAAAAATAAAAATTGTTTGATTTTTAGGCTGACATTGAATTTTGTATTACATTTCCATCATTGATAACTTCATTTCTTATGTACAAAACTTACTTTTGTTCAATATAATGAATGCACAATATTAGAGATGTACCCAATATTTTTTTTATAAATATATAACATTAGATATGTGCCCAATTTTTTTCTATCTTTTTATTTTTGTGATTCTTTGTATTTTCTATTATTAAAAATTTTATTATTTGACTATGACATCATTTCATTTATAGGTAGATTTTGACATTGGCATTCCATTTTCATCATTAATAAAAATACTTTTTACATTTCATAATTATTTATTTTAATTTTTTATTATTTAATTTTGACATTATTTATTAATCCATTTGACCTTAAAGGGTCAAATTTCTTACCCACCACCGGGAGGGAAGAAAATAGTTTTGTTTTCAAATTACTTTTCAAAATATTTATTTTTATACTATTAAAATTAATATTGTGAATTTAATTACAAGAATTTAGTGGAGGAAAATATATCTTAAATATAGGATTTAATGAGAGAGAATAGGAAAACATTTTTATTTCCAATTGGTTTTAAATTTTACACTCCATTTCCATCATTAATAAAAATATTTTTTATTTATCATACTTATTATTGTTTAATATATATGTTAAAAATGTTTCAAACTTTTTTAATTTATATATTTTTTTCATTTTATTTATTTTATTTAATTGTGGAAACATGGATTAACCCATTTGACCCAAAATGATTTAATTTCTTACCATCACTTAAATGAAACCACTATTTTTTCTAGGTAGATTTTAAAAGTATAAGCTTTTATGTTATTGGAATTATTAATATATTAAGTATGGATTTAACTAATAGAACTTAATGATGAGAAGAAACGAAAATGACTTAAAAATATGATTCAATGAACATGAATGCAATCTAATAACTTAAATGTTAAGAGTTAATGAGTGAGAATTTAATGCATTGAATATTTTTAAACTCATTTAATATCAAGATCCCATTACCCTATTTGCCATCATTTTTTTTATCAATAAATTTAAATATAGAGGGATAAATTTTATCCTTAGAAAATTCCAGGAATATTATTAAGGCCATTTGTGCTTTTTAAAGTAGTATAGATATGTTGATGAACAAATGGGTTAGTAATTAATCTAAGAATCTAAACAATACTGAGAGAAACCATAAAGGAAATATGAGGATGCATCAATCAATCTTTAATTTAATTCCTCTAGGCATAAATCAACAAACAAAACCCAACCCACTCCATTCACCGAAGAGCTACACCTAGACGAAGCTGACGACATTGATGACGATGACAATCTCCTCATCATCTTCGGTCCTTGTGTTATTCAAAAAGCCTCTATTTATTCTCTACCACTCGAACGTACTCGTTAAATGTGATTTTTTCCTATATGTTGAGCCCTTATTTCAAGGAAACCCGTAAATCTAGAGTTGTCTCTCAAGATCTATAGTTGAGAGATAGAGAATCAGATGTTGGTCCGATCGCCTCATTAAATGCGAGAAAATTTATTTTGGAATGTAGGTCATAGGCGACTATGTTGATTTATTCTCTTCGTTAAATGTGTGGAAAATTATTCTGGAAACCAGATATTGGACCAACATCTGAGAAAATTTATTCTAGAACGAGTATAGAGATTGGGGGTATACCCCAAGAGGAAGAGAAAATTTATTCTCTTGTTTCCGCATTTGGTTGATTTATTTCCCATATTGTTTCTGCCTCTTGGGGTATACCCCCAATCTCTGGTTTTCAGAAATAATGACTCAGATCTTGACTTATTCTAGAACGAGTGCAGAGAAACAATTCAGATCTTGAGTTGGAAGAAATCACATTTAATGGAAGAAATTACACCCATAAACTCACATTGTGGGGCTGAGCCGAAGCAAGATGGAAAACATATTTATTAATCTTGAGAGATATTTATTC